TGACTGTTTTGAGTAAGTGGTTGAGTCAAGTCTAGGTTTGTTGGTGAACAGAAGGGAGACTCTTCCTTTACTCGATTTTGCTGCACTCGAATGTCCTTTGTGGTGGTTGTTCAGGTTGCTGTTTAAGTTGGTCAGGTATTGATGTTTGAAAACCAGTACGATTCACGTGTTCTGTGCCTTTATGACTTGTCCCCAATGTTGGTTGATTGAAATATGTGAGCTTACCTTGTGTCTGACTTGGTTTGCTTGGGGACAAGCAAACGGTTAAGTGTGGGGGAGTTTGATAGACCGTTAATTACACATGTTTTTACCCCTGTTCTTACACCGTTTGAGGTGTTGATTATCGTGTTTTAGGCCGATTTCACGCTAGGTTGTGCTTGTTTGTCATATTTCAGGTCCTAGTACGTGAATGGAGGCTTGGGAGCGAGTTTGGGGTCGATTGTACGAGAATCGGACGCGTGGCGAGGTGCTAAGGAAGCTGCACGGGCATTCCTGGAAACCACACGGCCGTGCAACTCACAATTGTGGCCGTGTGGTTTTTGTTGAGAGCATGCACGGGCAGGATGGAGACCCCGCACGGCCGTGCGACCCTGGCCGTGTGGGAAGCCTAAGTTCGAACTAATTGGAACGCAGCGTTTTGACTCGCACAGGAAACTGGGTGAGCCACACGGCCGTGTGGCCTGCCCGTGCGAGTCGGGAAATCTTGGTTTTTCAGCCAATTTTGAGCCACAAGGGGGAGAATCAGACTTTTTGAGCAAAAACAGAGCCCTAGAGAGAGAAAGTACGAAGAACACATCCTAGAAGCTATCTTGGAGCTGGGTTTCATCGAATCGAGCTTGGAGATCGTCCTAGGAGTGGAAATCATCATTCCGGAGCAGATTTTCCTCATCTTTATGAGTATGACTACTCCGATTACTGTTTTCCTCTCTCTCTCTCTATGGAGTAGAACCCCTCTCTCACTTGGGGATGAAGAACCCTAGTTCTATGTGTTAGGGATTGATTGTAATGACTTGGGATGAGATTACTGTTTGATTTTAATCGAATGATGCATGTTTATTGAGTCAATTGAAGTCTGATCAACTTTTCCTGATTCCTGCTGCAATCTGAGATAGATAGAATCTGATTAGGTTGCTAGAGTCTCATCATTCGATAGTAGGAGATTGGCTATACGAGAGTTAGCCAGTTTACTGCTTTGTACTGGAATCCAATTCCAGTAGTGGAGTTCTGTTCTTACTGCTTCAGCTTTCTATCCCGGTGAAGACTAGTCGTCTGCCGGGTAGTTAGACTGAGAGGGCTTGGTCAGCTTAAGAGATTCCAAGCTACTGTCGGATCTTCCGCAGTCTAATCAACAGTAAATCAACCCAGGGAAATTGCAATTGAACCTAACTAAGGAGCTAGGGGGACTCATTCCCGAGTGACTCTTTCCTGCTTGAGAAAACCGAATAATTTCCTGCTTTCTTTCTGCTTTTGCTTTTAAACAACAATCACTTACTTTAGTTGGCTAGATAACAGAGAATCACTGAGTAAGCAGGATATCTAGACCCCGGGTTGATAATATAACTTGCCTGTTACTGCATTCCCGGTCTGCGATTACACTTGGTCGTAGATTGGTGTTGTGTTTTGGCGTGTCATGAAGCCAAAGCTAAAAGTATTTCTTTCCCTTCCAGGCGTACGATGATTTTCGATCCGTTTCATTTAGTCCATACCGATTTCACAATCATACTCTTTCTCATCTGGGTTTTAAGTATTTTTCTTCGTTGATTTCCGAACCGTTTCATTTCTTTGATCACGCCACCCGTTACACTTGGGTGTATTTCCTTCGTTTGAAATCTTAGTTGTATTCCATTGCACAAGAGTTCCAGGATATGGTCAAAACCCAGTTTGATAAGACAGTTCGCGTCATTCATTTTGATCCTGGTGGAGAATTCCACTATGGTATGCTTTTTGACGTTTACAAATCTCGTGCCATGTTTTCCAACAATCTTGTCCTTGTGTTTCTCAGCAGAACAGACTAGTCGAGTGCAAAAATAGACATGTGGTCGAGTTGACTCTCGACTTGCTTTTACATTCTCGGGTTCCACCCCGATTTTGGCCAGAAGCTGTGGCTATAGCTGTTCATTTGATTAACTACCAAATCACTCCAGTTTTGAATCAACAACCTCCCTTCTTTGCTTTGTTTGCCCGCCATCCAGATTATGCTCGTCTTCGCGTGTTTCGCTGTATGTGTTTTGTCTTGCTCCCTCGTCGTGAACGGTCTAAGATTTTGTCGAAAATTGTTCATTGTGTCTTCTTAGGGTATAGCGATAGTCCAAAGGGATATATTTGTTTTGACCCTACCACCCAACGTATCCGTATTGCCTGCCATGTCGTCTTTCTAGAGAGCTTTATGTTCTATGCCTCGTTCGTGTCCTCCCTTATTGTCTCCTTGTCATCCTCCTTACCCTCGTTCGCTGATGAAAATGATGATGAAGACGTTGACCTCCACCGGTTCCAGTTCCTCATCAGTGGAAGCTTCCCCCGGCTTCTTCTCCGTCAGTGGTTCCTCGACATTCCACACGCAGCACCCGGAGCCAGCCTCTGGTCAGGTTTCATGATTTTGTTGGATATAATTCGATTATCACTCTCGCCCGTTATCGACAGGCGAAATGGCATCCTCATTGGGAGTGGGCTATGGACGAGGAGAAGGCAGTTTTACTTGCTAATCGTACCTGGACCACTGTTCCCTGCCCGCCAACGTCCTTACCCGTGATTGGCTATAAATGGATTTACTCGCTGAAGGTTCACCGCGATGGCACCTTGGAGAGGTACAAAGCTTGGATAGCAGGACAGGGCTTTACAAAGGAGTACGAGGTTGATTTCGATGAGACTTTTGATCCGATAGCCAAGATGCAAACCGTTCAAACTCTCTTTGCTGTCGCTGCTGTCCGCCAGTGGCCTCTTTTTCAGCTTGATGTCAAGAACGCGTTTATGCATGGTGATCTTAAGGAAGTCGTGTATATGGAGCTTCTCATTTACATGGATGATATGATTATTACTGGCAATGATGGTGAAGGGATTGCTCAGCTTCCCCGTGATCTACATGCTTCTTTTGACCTCAAGGAGCTCGTTGCTCTTTCCTTATTCTTGGGGATCGAGGTCAACCGTAATGACAAGGGGATTTTTCTTTTCCAAGCTAAATATATAGGGGATCTCTTGGCTTTGTTGATTGCACTCCAGTATGCACACCTATGGAGCTGAAATTTCGTCTTTGTAGCATGTCGGGCTCTCCTCTTTCTGATGGGGATTTCCACCGTTATCTTAGCATTGTCGGCAGTCTAAATTATCTCACGTGACTTGCCCCGATATTTCTTATGCGGTGCAGGTCGTCATTCAGTTTATCACCTCGCTCTGCGTTGACCACTTGGTTGTTGTTCATTGCATCCTTCGTTACTTGCAGGGCACACGGGAAGTTGGTCTTCTTTTTTCTTCTACTGGTGCCTTTCAGTCATAGGCATATTCCGATTCTGACTATGCAAGATGTCCCGACACTCGTTGCACCACCACTGGGTGGCGTGTCCGTTTTGGTGATACCTTCTTTTCTTGGCGGTGTAAGAAACATGATAAGGTATCCAAAACATCCACTGAAGCTGAATATTGGGCGATGTCGGATGTCAGCTCAGAACTCGAGTAGATTCGTCGCATGTTACTTGATCTGCAGGTTGTTTGTCCATTTTCAATGTCTCTTCATGTGGATAATACGAGTGCTATCCGGATCACGACTAATCATGTGCTTCATGATCACACCAAACACATAGAGGTACATATTCATTATGTCCGTGATTTGATTTGGGATGGGATTATTCAGCTTCACTACATTTCTTCCGAGGATCTGGTCGTCGATTTCTTCACAAGACTTTCACTACCGCTCGTCGCTGGTTTTTGAGTTACAAATTGTTGCTTCAGGAGGTGCATCAATTTGGGGGAGGATGTTAATGCTTGTATCCGTGCATAAGGTTCTAGGCTTGTATGTTTTGGGAACTAATCATATGTATTGGGTTTTGGGGTTTCATTATGGGTCTCGTCCCATCATGGCATGGAGGTCTACGGCCCATGCAATTGTATGAAGAGTTCTACGTTGACTAGGAGCTAGAGGACTTAGGGTTAGGGTTGGAGATGTACCCTATTGTAGACTATATAATAGTCTCTTATAACCGAGCTAAAGGCATCCGAATAAGAGTATCAGCTGGAGAGTACTGACTCTCCCGTCGACTAGTCCTAATCTCTAGGGAAACCATGTAAATTCGTGTCATGTGTTAACGCTCTTGCTTTGTTCTTGTTGATTTAGGTACACGTTCTTAACACTATCGATCTATTTGCTTGTGCAATTAGGTTTAGTTTGCTAATAATTTTTGTCAATAAACATGTCGATATAAAATTTTATTCAATAAAACATGAGATCACATAAGGGGTAATTGTTCAAAAATTATTTTAATGCATCACCTTAGATAAAATTATGGCTACGCCAGTGGATGTGAGTTATTTCTATGGGTGGGTGTGGGTTATAAAATAGGTGATTCACTAAAATATAAGTGGGCACTGTAGTATGGGTGGATTGTGGTTGAGTCACGATCCACTCAACTTTTTAACCTCAAACCAATGAATTTCTAATATATAGATTTACCCAAAATGAGAATCTCAAAATCATGAAAATTCTCTCCAATTCGGTTAAAGATCTTCCAAAATCACTAATTATCATTCCTTAATGTTCAGTAGTTAATGAATATCTTCTCAAATTATGCTTATTGATGATAATTGGGAAGTATTTATGGGTTGGAATCTATATCATATGTATGTTCACAATTCCTTCTACAATTCTTTGTTAACTTTTCTTGTTTGTAAATTTGACTTATTCTATTATTTGGTTTCACGAATGTTCGGTGAGTGGTTGTGGCTTAAAGACTTGGACAGTTACCTGAATTTATGATACAGTTTCACCTTCATGTTTTTATTTGGTTATTATTAGGCTTAAATCATTTTTATTAGTTGGATTTTTATTGTGATTTGTGAACAATTACTAATATGTCAAATTAAACGATGCACATTATTTATGGATTAAACTTTATCTAATTCGGAGATTTCTTTAATTTTAAGATTACACAAATTTGGAATTATATGATCATTTGGAATGTATATTGTAAACCCACTGAATTCGTCCAAACATCGATAATCTGCAATCAACCTACCTAATTCACCTACAAATCTACAATTAAATGCTTGAATGTGTGTGATCCATTTTCTCATCCATCCATGCACCACTTAGTGAGTGCTTCTAAACCCACCAAATTCATATAAACCACCTGCTGGACACCCCTAACGATGTATATGAGGCCAGACCAATACCGATCTATTATGGATTGATCATGATTGATTTCTTTACATTCAAACGGTTCAATCATATTTTCTTTAGCAACAAACATCACTAAAGGAGGTGAAAATTCAAATATTACAAGATTTTATATCTTTCCACTTTCAGAACTTTAACCAGCGTACCTCTTTGACTCTAATCTTATTCAACCATAAGAAGAAGAAATGCCAAGCAAAGCAGCACCAAGAAAGACAACTATTGCCAGAAAATCAATCATTATAATCATATAGTAGCCATCGACGTTTCTCTTCAATTGCAACGGGTCTCTTACTAAAATCACTCCCCTGTTGTTGTCTCCGTCTTCCAACGATGCTATCTCATAATCATTCTCCAACAATTCTGTCGTCGTCGTCATAGCATTTTCTTCCACTGCCACCAGTCGGAAGATATCCTTCTCACTCGCCTCATGATCGCGCTCCCAATGAGTGACAACCGTAAACCCTAACAACTCTCCTACCTCATCCGTCGTCGTAGCATTCATTTTCGCTGCCACCACTGCCACAACACTCAAATTGTCACACATTTGGAGTTGTTCAGGAAGCAGAGGCTTAGTCGCGCCCAACAACATCCTCGTCTCATTCTCGTCTACGCTGAAGATCAACATATCCCCCATTTCAAACAAGCAGAAGAATCTTCCATTTTTGTAGCCCACGCCGAGGCAAAGTTGTCCTTTTTTCCCACCCAGGGAGAAATCATACGTCTCAAATTTCTGATTTTTAGGAGAAAAAGCATTGAAAAAGCGGTCCCCATACACCACGAGGATCATCATGTTCCGAGCAGTGGGCATTCCAGAGAAAGCGAAGCTGATTGGGAGTGGTGTCGGGTCACGTCGGAAGTTAGAAAAACGGAAGCTCTTTTCTCCAGGAAGATAGATGCAGCTTTTGGGTTTTTGGAGTAGAGGATTGTAAAACCGCAACCCTCCATGCACTCGTATGAGGAACCACGCGCCCACCCTCCCGAGGATCGTTATGTCTGCACCTGCGAGCTCTTCTGGAATTTGAGATTCACGACGTCGTTGAAGGAACATCCGACCCTCCCTCACTTCGATGACGTCGGAGCTGGAAAATTTTGCAGGGATGATCACCACAGGCAGGGGATTGGAAATGGCAACCTGAGAGTGAACTTGGTGCCAGTTCTTGCATACGCCGCCGAAATGAGTACCGTCGACGTGGGACGTCAGTCTGCTATAGATGGATTCCAAGAAATCCGGACATATATCAGCCCATGATCGTTGATCCTCTCCTATTATCATCTTGATCAATCTAATTTACTTTTTGGATATTTCTTTTGTTATCAATTATATCTGTGGCCTTTGATAGTCTCTTTCCTTTTGGAAATGTTTGAAGTTTGCATCCGAGATTGTAAATTGTATAATGCGAGAGTTATAACTTAGAAAGTTTGTTAGGTCTACAAATATGCACTCAAAAAGTGAGACGATATTCTCATTGTTGGTTATAATGTAACGGGATCGAAAAAGACCTGATATAGCGGCTTATGAAATGGTCAATATTAGATTATAAAAAAAGACAAAATGGCAAAAATAATTTTTTTAATAGATTTTCACATGATTTGTTACTATTCCTAATTCAACGTGCTTTCTCAAATATGGTTTTAATTTACATTCTCTTTTCTTTTCACCGAACATAACATAGGTGAATGAATAATTAACCATGCATGTAGACCAACATATATACACACTAACGCACATACGCTATACATAAAAAGGGGGCACTACGGTTAATTATAACCGGCTCACGAGAAGGTTTTCGCTCCGAGAACTTAGGAAGGGAAAACTTGAGCTGCCAGGGTTACGCGTTTTCACTCGCAATCATGGCGGCGGCGTCAGAACCGCCGGTCGGAGGGGGAAGCACCTCTGCTGATTTCCTCTCAGGCCAAAGAAGACCGCCATAGTCCTCGTCCCCCAACCCGAAGGGTGACAGGGAAGCACAACAAACAAAGAAAAAAGCTAAGCCGACCATGGTTGATGGTATCTCCGTTGAGAGCCCTAACGACATAAACATGGAATCTGCCGCCAAAGATCCAAGGTCGCCTCTGACTCAGAGCCCCAAAGCCTCGGCATGGAGCCATGGAACGGGAGCAGCGCACCGTTTGTTTGGCGATTCCGCGAAGACTGACGAGTGGTATGTTGCTGACTCGATTCGGAGGATGTAGCAACCGCCATGAGAGAGGATGGCCGTGAAGCTGAACAAGATGAAGATGACGACCCGTTGTGCCCGCCGATTCCGTTCTCCGCAGCGGAAGAGCGACAATACTGTCGCCCGTGGAGATCGGCTCTTGTAGTTAAGGTATTGGGACGGTCAACGTCATATACCGCCATCTCCAAACGTTTGAACTCGATCTGGGCGAAGGCTGGTGGTATTCAGGTGACGTCAGCGAAGAAGGGCTACTTTCTAGTACGGTTCACAAGTGGTATCGACTACGAACGTGCACTAACATGGGTTCCTTGGATGATGGGAGAGAATTACTTGACGGTACATATGTGGGATAGACACTTCAACCCATATGAACACGAAATCTCATCGACTCTTGTTTGGGCACGCCTTCTAGAGATTCCGATACACTTTTTTCATCCTGAGGCTGTTATGAAAATTGGACGTCGAATCGGGAAGCCGATCAGGGTTTACCAGGCAACCCGTACAGGTGCTCGAAGTGATTATGCTAGGGTGTGTGTTCAGGTAGACCTCACCAAGCCGCTCCTGTCGCAATTTCGGATTCATGGAAAAAAGTATTTCATACAATATGAGGGACTCGTGCGGATCTGCCTACAGTGTGGAAAATATGTAACCTATAGCTCTTGCCAGTGTTCTAAGATACTTGAACCCATGGAGGATGAGACGGTCGTCGCTCCCAAAGAAACAGAAGCACCGCAACCGGAGAAAATTTACGGTGAGTGGATGATCGCAAAGCGCAAACCACGTAATGGAAAACCTAGCGCACACAATCCATCACGTGCTGCTCTATCACCTCCTGCGAAACAAGTAGCTCCGGTTGAGCATAATACCTCGGGATCATGATTCCAAGCACTCCATACCGAGAATGACGAAGGGACAATGAATGAGGATCAAGAGGAGTCTCCACAAGCTGTGATTCAAGAAAACCAGACTCCCGTCCAGAGCCGGGGGAAGGGGATACCTAAGCAAGGACACGATGGGCCGGCAAAAGACACAAGTCGGACTCCAACAGAGGTGCAAGAAACTTTGAAGCAGGCCGTGGAAGATCAAGCTCGCCAAAACCCCCAGATAACGCACAACTCAATTGATAGAGCGGCTCTGGGAAATCATAAAAAGAGAAACCAAAACACCCCCCTACGGAAGACTACGGAGATGACTACCACCATGCACATGCAGGTCACACCGCCAACTTCAAATTCGGTTGACCCCCTGCATGGCAAGCCGAATAGCATGCAGTCAGAGCACGTCCTGGGGAGGCCTCCAGATGACTCGCCAAGTTCCCCAAGCCCATTGGGGGGTGGAGTGAGTTCAACTGAGGAACAAATGTGTGATGTTGACGGAGCTACTCCGTCTGGAATTAATTCACGGAGTTGCTCTTTACCCTATCTTTTTTATGGATTTTAAGATCTTTTCTTGGAACTGTAGGGGTGCGGGTAGCCTGATGACTCGATATTTGCACATGTTTGCCCCTTTGTTTCTTGATCGTTTAAGCTTGCATTATCGCTTCTTTAGCCTATTTTATGCTAGGTTGTGTTCCTTTGTCACATTTCAGGCCCTAGCAAATAAAGTGAAGCATAGGCGCAAGTTTCAAGTCAATTAGAGATCAATTGGCGATTAGGGAGAAGAAACACGAGCATGACCTGAAGAAGAATGGATTTCTACCTCACTTTATGGACAAAGAATCATGGAAGTTTGTTATGAAAAGAAAGAGGACGAGACTACGAGCGTCTGGGTTCAAACGGCGACTGATTCGGAGTCCGGACGAGGGAGAAACGAAGCTTTGAACAGTGGTGGAGGAAGAATTACGGTCAGGAGAATTACGACCGTAATTTCCCCTCCCATGCCCGTAATTTCATTGCCGAGAGGAGCTTTGGGTGCGCTGAAACTTAACCAAAACGCGTGTTTTGAGCAAAATACGGGCATGGAAGAATTACGACCGTAATTCAGCCCGTAATTCGCCCAGAATCGGGTTTTTGAGGCCAATTTCGAGCCAAGGGAGAGGGAGAGCTGGGTTTTTGGGTTCCCAAACACCCAAGGGACGAACCCTAGAGAGAGAGAGCGACTTGGGAACATTCTTGGAGCTATTTTGGAGGATTTCTTCGCCATTGGAGCTCGGGAATCAAGCTTGGAGATGGAGATTGAAGATCTAGATCAAATTTCTGCAGTCTCTCTCTTCTCTATGGAGTAACTTCCCTTCACTTAGGTTTTGAGGAACCTTAGTTCCATGAGTTAGGATCTTTCTTGTATGAAGTTTTGGATGCTATATTGTTTGATTATAATCGAATGATGCATGTTTATTGAGTCAATTGAAGTCTGATCAACTTTTCATGATTTCTCCTGCAACCTGAGATAGATAGAATCTGAGTAGGTTGTTAGAGCCTCATCATTCGGTAGTAGGAGATTGGCTATACGAGAGTTAGCCAGTTTACTGCTTTGTACTGGAATCCAATTCCAGTAGTGGAGTTCTGTTCTTACTGCTTCAGCTTTCTATCCCGGTGAAGACTAGTCGTCTGCCGGATAGTTAGACTGAGAGGGCTTGGTCAGCTTAAGAGATTCCAAGCTACTGTCGGATCTTCCGCAGTTTAATCAACAGTAAATCAACCAAAAGGAATTACAACTTGGACCTAATTGAGGAGCTAGGGGGAATCATACCTAAGTGAGTTCCCAAACTGTAATTAGTAGTTTTACTTAGTTTAGTTAGTAGAGTAGTTTAGTTAATCAATCCTTAATCTAGTTTGCTAGATAATGAACTGAAGCTGAGTAATAGTAACTCTAGAGACCCGTGGATTCGATATTTATTACTTGTGCCACTATACTGCAGTCCCTTTCATTGGTTACACTTGGCCATTGTTAGGTGTTGTGTTTTAGAGCATCATAGCCGTAGTTTTCTGAGATTTTTTAAAGAATATCTTCGGAGACATCGTCCGGATATCGTGATTATAGTGGAGCCTCGCATTAGTGGGGATCGGGTGAATGAAGTTGTGAGGGATATGGGTTATGATAGCAAGTATATTGTTGACGCCAACGGCTTTGCGGGGGGTATTTGGGTTTTGTGGAACGTAGATGATTTTGTTGTGACACGACTTAACAACCACCCTCAATGTCTTCACGTGCAGGTGCAGGTACCCGATTCTAGCAGCCCGCCATGGGTGTTGTCTGCAATTTATGGTAATCCGGCGCCAATCCAAAGGCGACAACTGTGGGAAGAAATCCGTGAGCTGGCTGAAGGACCAAGACCACCCATGGCTCCTAATGGGCGATTTCAATTCTATTATCAGCCCCGGGGAGAAATTGGGAGGCGCCCCGTTTGATGCAGCACGGATAAGAGAGTTTCAAGACTGTGTTAATGATACAGGTCTTGTCGATATTGGCTTTACGGGACCTGCGTACACGTGTTTCCGCCGAGGATTACGGGAGAGGTTAGACAGAGGCCTGGGGAATAATGCCTGGGTCACTACTTTCCCAGAATCGACAATCCGCCACCTTCCTCGAATCAGATCTGATCACCGGCCAATCATGCTCTCTACTCAAGTACACGTTCAGCCGGGGGGTCGTAAACCTTTCCGTTTCCTCGCGGCCTGGACAACTCATGAGGGGTTTCTGCCAATGGTTGCTAATGTCTGGGTTAAAGGGGCGTGTTTCAGTGAGTCGGCTGAAGCCCTTGCCCGAGATGCCGAGGTCTGGAACCGTACTGTCTTTGGACATATTCAGAGAAAGAAGGATCAATTGTTGAAAAAACTGGAAAGACTGGAGCGCAGGGGAGGAGGGGTTAGCGATAACCAGGAAACTATCCAAGTGAGAGAGGAGCTCAAGCTACTCTTACAGGAGGAGGTGACCTGGTGCCAAAAAGCTTGTCTAGAGTGGATTATCTCGGGAGATCGGAACACCAAATTTTTCCATACTCGTACCCTCCATCGACACAAGCAGAATCGGATAACTCTCCTCAAGAATGCAATGGGTGAATGGGTTGATGACCCGGCCGAGCTACAAAAGATGGCAAGATCTTTCTTCCAATGGTTATACACCAATGAAGGAGAAGAGATGTAGTACGTCTAGGCTGCCTTCCCGCCTATCACAACTGAGAAATGGGAGGAAGTGAGCAAGGAATTTACACTCGAAGAAGTGAGGCTGGCTATCCGATCAATGGGGGCTTTAAAGGCTCTAGGCAAGGATGGTCTCAACCCGTTGTTCTTTCAGAAATGTTGGTCCATGGTGGGAGAATCATTGGGTAAGCTGGCGCAGGAGTGTTGGGAAATGCCGCACAAAATCAAGGAGGTAAACTCAGCAATCCGGTCCTCATTCCGAAGGTGGCCCAACCTTCTTCTATTGAACAGTTCAGACCAATTAGCCTCTGCAATGTGGCCTACAAAGCGATTACTAAGTGTTTGGCGGAAAGGCTGAAGGGGTTGATGCCATCTTTGGTCCATGAAACACAGACGAGCTTTGTGCCAGTGCTTCATATAACCGATAATATCTTCATTTTCCAAGAGGTAGTTCACTCTAAGCGAGCGAGAAAGGGTCGGAAAGGCTGGATGACGTTGAAAATCGATCTAGCAAAAGCTTATGACCGGATTAGGTGGGAATTTGTAAGAGATACACTGACCGGATTAGGTGGGAATTTGTAAGAGATACACTCCAGGCAGCAGGCGCCCCTGCCAAGTTCGTGGATCTCACGATGGCGTGTATTATGTCAGCTGCCATGCAGATACAGTGGAATGGTGGACTAACCGAGCCATTTTACCCTTCGAGAAGTCTCCGGCAGGGCTGCCCGTTATCGCCGTACCTCTTCACCCTCTGTATGGAGAGGCTTGGGAACTTGATCGAAGACTCGGTGACAAATGGACAGTGGAAACCGCTAAAGCTTGCTAGCTCTGGGCCGAGTTTTTCCCACTTGTTTTTGACGACGATCTTATCTTGTTTGGGGAGGCAACTTTGGAACAGGTGCAAGTTATCCTTGACTGTTTCGAGCTCTTTGGAGGGGCATCAGGCCAAAAGATCAGCAAACCGAAGTCCCGGGTCTTCTTTTTCAGCTAACGTTTTGCCTCAAGCTCGCAGCAGTATGAGTGAAGCCCTTAAGATCCCTGAGACTCTCAACCTGGGCAGGTACCTGGGGGTGCCGGTTATCCATGATCGAATATTGAAAGCTACCTACACAGAGTTGATTAATAAAATAGACTCTAGGCTTGCAGGTTGGAAAGCATCCACGTTGTCTCTAGCAGGAAGGATCACCTTAGCAATTTCGGTGCTCTCCTCCCTCCCAGCTTATACTATGCAGACAGTGTTTCTTCCGGCTAGTGTGCGGGACTATATAGATAAAAAGATCCGGGCGTTTGTTTGGGGGAGTACAGACCAAGGGAGGAAAATTCATCTAGTTGACTGGGAAACCCTCTGCAGGCCAAAGGCGGAAGGAGGGTTGGGGCTTAGAGATGCAACTAAGACAAACGAAGCATACATGTTAAAAATTGCTTGGCGGTTGCTAACTAACCCAAATGAGTTGTGGGCAAAAGTGATCAGATCAAAATACTTTCATAAAACCGAGGAGGGCTTGGTGGCTAGGACGACAGGGCGTTTATCCAACATGTGGCGGGGAGTATTAAGGGTGATACACCTTGTAGAGGAGGCTTTGAGCTGGAATATTAGAAACGGAAGGGTGGCAAGGTTTTGGAGTGACCGATGGATGGCAGATGAACGGATCCTCAAAGACTTGGCACCTAACATACCGTAGGAGTGCTTGCAGATGTCGATCTATGATTTTGTGCTAAATGGTGAGTGGAACAGGGATTTTTTAAATGTGTACTTACCGGCCCATGTTGTTTCGCAGGTCGAACTCCATCCGATCCCGGCGGAGCTAGAAAATGACATGAGAGTGTGGGGGTTCTCCCAATCTGGCGAGTTCACCCTGAAGACAGCCTACGAGCTGCTTGATAGCGGAGCCGAGAGAACCAATAGGCATCCAGCCTGGCGTACAATTTGGCGAACCCCCACCATGCAGCGCTTCCGGACTTTTCTGTGGCTGATGGTTCACGGCAAGCTGCTGACCAACGCTGAACGCCAACGACGACACCTGACGGAGAACAGCAGTTGTAAAATTTGCGGAGGATCAAGTGAGGCAGCCATGCATGTCGTTCGAGACTGCCCTTTTGCTAGAGCGGTGTGGGTGGACTTCCTGGATAGCGAGCCCGACGACAATTTTTTCGAGCCTGACATGAAGCGAGGGTCTTTACACTACCTTTCTAGTCGCAGTAATGTGGTAGATCCTATTTTGTTTGCAGGTACGTGTTGGCTGCTGTGGAAAAACCGGAATAGCCTCTTGTTCGAAGGTGAGCTGAAGACCTATGCACAAGTTCAGTTCAACGCAAAGCAGCTAAAACATCGGATTCATACGCCATTCGAACAAGAAAGTCGCATTTTTGGAGCCGGGGGACTCCCGGAACATCGACTCATTGGCTGGAAACCACCTCAAACTGGCTGGATATGCGTGAATACTGATGGCTCAGTGATACAAGCACACGAGAGCACAACGTGTGGAGGAATCGTGAGGGGAGATGATGGCCGCTTCATTAAAGCTTTTTCAGCGAACCTTGGAGGGGGTTCGATTACTCGAGCAGAGCTGGCTGGAATTGTGCATGGGTTGAAGCTTGCTTGGGAAGAAGGGGCTAGGAAGGTGATTCTTCAGATAGACTCCAACACGGCGATTACTCTCATTGAATCTGCAACGACCAACCACCCACATTACACGAGTGTTGCTGAGATTCGCCGCTAGCTAGAGAGACCTTGGCAGGTCAAGATTGAGCATGTGTACCGTGAGGCAAACTACGTTGCTGATTATTTAGCCTCTCTTGGACATTCTCTTGCTGTAGGGATGCACATTTTCTATGTTCCCAGTACCATGTTGCTGTACTGGTTGTACTTTGATCGAGTTGGGGTTCGAACGCCCTAGTTGGTTTAATGCATAAAGGTTGGGGCGCCCTTTAAGCGCCCTATATTCTACCAAAAAAAAAAGAGGGGGCACTACTACGTTTATAGGGCTTGGTTTGGATGGATTAACTATATATCCAAATAACAAGAGTTAAAACAACTCATTAACTGTTTGTATAGTATTTTAATATTGGTGAAGTGGTAATTGGATTAATATATTTTATTTGACGGAACTATTTACATGTGTAAAAAAGGTAAAATGGATTATTTCATAGAAGAAGAAATCAATTGATTTGGGGCTCCCCGGTGCATACCTAATTGTTTTTTCATCCAAACATAGAATTTTCAGCCTGATCTCACATTATACTTAGGGCACATAATCGGGTTGGCATTTATTGTGTCAACCTAACTGCTAACTGTCGATTAACAAGTATATCGTTAATTGCGAAAGATGTGACAGGTTAGCTAACAATAGAGATTTTTGGGTAGCGGTTAATCTTTCACCTACATATGTGTTAATGACTAACCACTAGTTGATCGGACTAATCGTTAGCACAAATTTTATGTTTTATTAATTTTGATTATGGATTTATTGTTGAATATGAATTTAAAACATTGATATTATTCCTTATATTTTCTTTATGATAACCATGCTCAACTATTACTAACTTTTTATTGAATTTGCATGCAATTTGAATAAACGAAAAAGACATTACAATGAGTAAAAATTTTATGCTAAGAATGGTGAAAAGACACTAAAAAAGGGGGTGAATTTCACGTTTGGTCACTCAGATTACATATTTCTTTCACGTTTGCCACCGGAAAATTTTTCCTTTCTTAATCATCACCCACATTACACTTTTATTTCACTGATGGTCACTGGTCGTTTAACTCCGTCCGACTCCGTTAACGCCGTCCGTTTTCCGATGACGTGGCCGACGGAAGTGCCAAGTTGGCAGTCAATAAACCAAGTCAGCTTATTTAAGAATAAAAAAAGACTTTGACAACTGACCCAACTCGAACCCGACCGTAGACCCTACCCGGCAAGTCTATTAACATTAACATTCAGGTCAAAAATGAAAAAGGAGAGCGAAAGGTTTTGTCTCTCGTTCTCGTTTCCAGGCGAAGGTAAACTTCTGCTTCTTATGTAAAAATATATGGTTTAGGTTTAGGTGACCAACCCATCATCTCATCTCTTTTTGCTTGTGATTCTTCTTTTTCTCCTTTGTATAATGAACCCGCCATCATCTCGACACTCTCCGATTGACGAATCTGCAAAACCCTAAATCCCCAAATTGAAGTATCCAACAGTGGTTCCTTGCTTTGCTCTTCTCTCCGAGGGTCGGCGTTGAAGAAAGGAGAAGTTGTAAGGTAATTTCTTGTCGTATTGGAGCTTTTATTGATTTCAATGAGGGTGTTCCTATAGACACGACAAAAGGTGGAAACGAACAAATTTCGGAGTCATGGTTGTCAATGGTGTTTTTATCTGTTTCAATGTCTGCCATTTGGATTCTTTTATTGCGACTTGGTGTTGTTTTTTCCAGGTTGTCGAGAATCATGGTGGGATATGTGAGACCACCGAATGGTAGCCCACCTAAATATCGTAAGTTCTGTTGTTTCATGCTTGTTTATATGGTTGTTTATTGGAGATATCGTTTCCAGAAATAGCCTTTCCCTTTTCAGAATGCTTATAGACCATAGAATCGTCACCACTAAGATGAATTACACTAATTTTTTAAACCAAAGGTCCATGTAGTGGGGAGTTTACTTTTGAAGTTCATGTAGACCATGAATTGAATAAGAATAGTGGCAAACATTTCTCGAAGGAGAAGGCCAGCATGTTCTATGATTATGCTGACATTGACGAATTATCCCTCCTTGACTTGCCTGATATATATGAGAAGTGTGGTGGGAAGATTCAAAAACCAACATTCTACTGGAAAGCTCCCGATGATGATTCAATGATGGAGATTGCCAACGATGGGGACTTGATGGCCATGGCTGCAACAGCAAACCAACCCCCTCGCATCATAGAGCTTTTTGCCATAGGGGATAAGGAAGTTCAGGAATTTATGGGTAGTGACCTGGAGGAAGATGGAAACGGAGGATTGGTGAATGATGCAGCTTTGTTTGGTCATTCTGCTGAGGAGGACGTGGACTACAACATATCGGAGGATGATAGTGACTATGAGGGTGACTCTAAAATGGCCAATAGTGATGGTGAGAATGCTGATTTTGAGAAGAATTGTAATGAAGATGTTGAAGTTGATCTTTTGTTCATTTTTTATTTTGACTTGTTTGGTTTTGTAGGGTCTCATGCCAGCCCTGGACTTGATATTTCCCTACGCAGAGAAGAGGCATTGTGCAAGGCATTTGTACACTAATTTACAGAGTGCATGTGGAGCATCCCAAATGATGAAGGACTTGTTTTGGACAGCTGCTAGAGCCACCACAGTACCTGAATTTCATACTTCCATGAAAGCACTTGCAGACTACAACAAAACAGCCTATGATTGGCTTGTTGAGAAGCCATTTTATCACTGGACCAGGTCACATTTCCTCACTCATGTTAATTCTGATGTGCTTACTAGCAACATGGTTGAATCATGGAATGATACAATACTGGATGAGAGAGATGTGGCTCATATTACTGTGTGGGAGGGGATAAGAAGGAAGTAGATGTTGCAGTATGCTTGTAGAAGGCGTATAGTGGATAAGTGCTGTGGTCCTTTAAGTCGAAAATTTGAGAAAAAAGTTAAGGAGTTGAGGGAAGAGGCTCGCAAGTGGGTGGCTGAATGTAATGGAAATGCAGAGTTCGAAGTTAGGTGGCACAACAAGCAGCTTGTGGTGAATTTAAGAGAAAAGACATGTACTTGTAGGAGGTGTGAGCTGAATGGTATTCCTTGTGAACATGCAATTCAAGCTATTATTAGGGCCGGTAGAAATGTCTGCGATTATGTGGCTCTATGTTACCTTAAGGATGCACAAAGGAGAATCTATCAATTCTCTATCTCGCCTACTGTCAACAAGGAGCATTGGATTCTTTCTGAATTAGGTGATGTTGGAGTTCCTGCACTTTCTGAGTCGGTAAATAGACGAAGGCCAAAGAAAGCTAGAAGAAAAGGAAGTTGATGAAGTTGGAAAGAGCCGAAAAGAACAGGCTTGCTGCACTAAAGAAACTGGAACAAAATGGAAGAAAGGGTGGGAGACAAGCACAAAGACAACCACATACTGTCCAATTGATGTCAGATGTATATCTTTAGTTCTTTGTTTCCATTTTTAACAAGTGTAAGTGAATGCTTCCTAAACGTAGTCATTGTGTCCAACTTTGCAGGGAAGTACCCGGAGGCCATCAAATCATGTGACTCAGCAAGGAAGCCAAGCCACTCAAGTCTCTCATATAGCAAGCCAAGTGACTCAGCTACAAAATCCATGAAGAGTGGTTGTTTTAGAGGATGTTTAGGTAATGTAGTAGTGGATGTCTAATTGAAGTTTGTAGTGATTGTTTAGGTCATGTAGTAGTGGATTGTAAACCGTATGATATGCTCTTTTGCTAAACAGCCTAGGTTGCTTATCAGGTACCATTGTTGGGGTAACTAATGGAGCCTTTCAGTCATGGCTCTTGTAATCAGGTAATGATTTGGACTTGTTTTGGTCATCAGGTGCCAGTGTTGGTTAACTTATGGAGCCTTTCAGTCATGGCTCTTGTAAATCAGGTTATGATTTGCACATTTTGTGGACAAGAAAACGATTACTAATGCATGTAAGCCTTGTTAAGTATGAATGGTTAGCTACCTTTCTTGATGATGCAGTCATCCTTTATTCCCAGCACTGGCTATTCAACACATACCAGTGGCATAAATCTCCATTAAATTTGAGTGATCAAATACCAGTGGCATAAATCTACATTTCCAATTCCACTTACAGAATCTCCGGTTACAAATTATAAGCTACGGCTAAACAAAGTAGCTAAACAAACACACATTAAACATTCCCCTCAAACCCACCCATTCTTAATTCCCTTACATAGTAGACATTCCCTTCAAACCCACCCACCATTCTTAATTCCATTACACAGTAGACATTCCCCTCAAACCCACACACCATTCTTAATTTGCATTCCAAAGGAATGAACAAAGAATATCAACAAAGACGAAGATGTACACTTTTTTAGTCAGAAAATTGGACTCCCTCTCCTGCTGCCTCTTCTCTAGCTCACGAATGCGGCGATGGAGGTTGAGCACCAAATATTTCACGTGGTCATCAAGAACTGGGCCATGCCATCTAAAGTAATTCAATGTTCCGCCTCTCTACACATTAACACACAAAACAAAGAAGCAGAAGGATGAGAAACCAACCAGTGAACAGATCGGCAGAGAAATACGAAGGGCTGGGTCTCCTACCCCAAACTTGCCGCACCCAAAGAACCTCCTACCCGGATTCGCATCCGTCCAACTCGTCTTCAGACTTGCTGGATCTCCACAGTGACAAAATGGGCCTTCCATTTCTTAGCTGGTTCTCGCCTAACAGAGCAACTAAGGAGGAAGAAGAAGACGTGGAGAGAGAAGATAGAAGAATAAGGGTTTAATGAATATAAATAGGGTAGAAATCCCTAGGATAGATTGTGAAAAGGGGGGTGGGGGGGGGGGGGGGGGAAGGCTCGTTCTTCCCGCCCATACTAGGTCAATGCTTAAAAGTAAGTTGACTCGGTTTTTTGACTGCCAACTTGGCACTTCCGTAGGCCACGTCATTGAAAAACGGATTGCATTAACGGAGTCGGACGGAGTTAAACGGCCAGTGAGCATCAGTGAAATAAAAGTATAATGTGGGTGACGATTAAGAAAGGGAAAATTTTCCGGTGGCAAACGTGAAACAAATATGTAATCTGAGTGACCAAATGTGAAATTCACCCTAAAAAAAGAGAGGGAAATGCCCTGCCGGGTCGAGTAACCGTTCGGTTACTCAAACTAATTAAGTGCCCTATTTGGTTTATTTTGAGGGTTAGTGTTATGTAATATATTTATGTTTTACTTAATTTAGTTTGCTCATTAAAATTAGGATTGATTATTATTAGACGTGGGTTAGTGTGTCAGTAGTTAACTAAAATTAACGGTTAACTACTTAACTCCCTAGTTTTTAGTTAGATTAGCTCTAGCCTTTAGTATTTAAGAATGGTTTAAGATTGAAGAAGGCAGAGATAAAAAAAATGTAAAAGACGAGAGTCTTGTTCAAGGTTGGCTTTTCTAAAAAAAGATTAGAAGTTATGTTCTCGTCATCAAGGAGAACGAAACTTTCTTTTCAATATCTTTTCTTAATCTCCCTCGCTTTATATCTTTCTCGAAAAAGTGCACATAACCGCTAGACGGTTAATTGCTAAAATAATCATTAGTCAATGGGTTAGTAGTCAGAAATCAATCATTAGACAACAATTAACTGCTAACTGACTCGACTTGATGATCGCATTCACACCTAATTATATGACATCGGATCTAGCTAGTTCCCAAACCACGCATGCCCACTTACAAACAACAACGAGAGTACTGAAACACTTCCATGAGTCGTGCCGCGTTTGCCCCAGCAGAACCTCCAGTATAGTGTTTATGACCATAGTTAACTTAAAACCCAGTGTTTCCCCAGCGAGAAAATCTAGATGAACAGAATTGGATTTGCACCTTTGACTTCCAAACAAACGATTAACAAACACAATCGACACCTCTTTGAACATAGTTCAAACAAGGGTGTTCGATGTTCTTGATGATCTACGAGGAAAACTAAATTACATTAACTCTACTCCTATGGAAGTTCAGTGAGAGCTCCGAAACTACAAATATGGCTATGACTACATTTGCAGAGGAAAAGGTAAAGATAAAAGGATACAATTTGACATTGTGTTGTCTGGTGTGATTTTGGCGAACCCTTTCTCCGTCATCTTCACCTCCTATTTATAGCCACCAGAAGTAACTGCTTCGAGAAACTACTCTGCTGACGTGGAGTGGCGGTTACCCTCTCAACTTCTTCGACGGTTACCCTAACGTTGGATGTGCCACCTTCTTCAGCCCTGACCCCCTCCTCTTGAGATCTCACTCCGTACTCTTGGTATCTCCTCCATAGCGTCGCTTGTCTATAGAGAAAAAATGGCTAAGGCATGATGGAATACCACGTGCCACATATGGGTGGGTATTTGAATCACATGAATTAAAAATGACAAAAATACTTCACCAATAAGAGAGTAAAGAGACCACGTGGTCACATGACCCCCTTGCCTTGGCCATACCATGGGGGTGTACGTTGGTGACCCCCTCACCATACCATTGGGGGGCATCCCCCATGGGGTCATATGGATCACCCCACCACTATATCATCCTCATGAGAGCTGGCGTTGGTGACCCCTCACCCCCTGATCATACCATGGGGGGTGCTATGTTGGTGGTCCCCAGACCACCTCATGGGGGGTGCTCCTTCCACCCTTATCACCTTCCATACTTAGCCACATTTTACATCTTCTCCCCCCGCCTTAGCTAAATTCGGCCATCACCCTCCTCACCATGTCATGGGGGTGGCAGTATGATGTCCACCCCCTTGTCACGTCCTGGGGGTGGTGGTATGATGGCCACCCCCTTGGTACCTCCTGGGGGTGGTGGTATGATTCCCACCCCCCTTGCCATGTCCTGGGGGTGGTATGATGGTGGCCACCCCCCTTGGTACCTCCTGGGGGTGGCTACCATACTCCTTGCCTTAGCCAAATTCGGCCATCACCCCCCTCACCACGTCCTGGGGGTGGTATGATGGTGGCCACCCCCCTTGGCATGTCCTGGGGGTGGCTCCCATACTTCATGCCTTAGCCAAATTTGGCAATCGCCGCAATCACCATGTCATGGGGTGGCACGGAGTAATGGGCCCAAAAACCCAATCCTCATGGCTCACTCAACTTATTTAAACTTATATGATTAAGTTGGCCTTATAAAACCATTTAATTCCTTGTTTTTAACCGATGTGGTACAAGGTTAATTTTTGGTGTAAACAATTGCCCCCCCCCCCCAAACTATTTAGTGCATAAGAATTATGGACTAAGTAGTTTCACACCAACTAGGCCATCAAACTCAAATAGTTGGCCTTACAATTTAAATGACAAAAACAATCCCAATTTCTTCTCCTTTGCTGCCGTGTGGGAGGAAGGAAGGGAGTCAAACATAATTATTTCATAGTCCTTCCATCTCGACACAACCGTGCCCCCCATGCCACTGTGACCACCAACACTTATGGTCACTCTTAAATCACACGCCGTGGTATCTTTTGAAGTTATTGGGCTAGAACAATATCATGCCCCTCTAGTTAATCCAAACTACTACTAATCATACCCCATGCCATTCACCATCACCTCCATGTCTTGTCATGGGGTATATGGTTCACACCTTAAAAATTCTAAAGTTTGGCATGGTTAGGCCACCTTAATGGCCTGACAATACGAGTAATGAATGAGGCTTACCAGTTGCGGCAAGATTCTCACATCAAAACCTACTAACTTCTTCTGAAACTTGCCACTTTGGCATTTTAAATATAAATATATATATATCCATGGTTGGCTTTTCTATATTAATTAATATATTTATTTATTTTTACTTTTTTATTGCATATAATAAGTAGTTACAAGCATCATTGATCTCCATACCCTTTGTCAATAACCGAAGTGCTAAAGGTATACATCCACTGCCAAGTCCATGTATTAAACCAAACAAGCCAACCATACACCATATGGCCATGGTTGTTCAAAGGAGATGATTCTTCACAAGCTGACTTTGAATCACCCCCTACACCATTTTTTCCGTTATGACCCTTACCATCACTTTGAACTTGGGCATGCTTGCCCTGGTCAGACACTATCACTTTGGAACCCGTGGTCATAGAGTTGTCCACCTCAATACTAGCATGATCATCCTCATTTTGTTGTGTTGGTCTCACCATCTCACCAGGTACTACTGGGTATTGCTCTTTCGTGCTTTCGCATTCTTACGTAGAAATCTCCTCCTTTGAGTCTTTGTCATCCCCCCAATAGCTACTGGTTGACTATGCATATCATAAGTATGCCCCCCTCCTTGTGGCACATTGGGCATCTTAGAAGTCCTTCTCATGGGAAGAGGGTCATGTGCCACCCATTGCCTTCTTTGCCCCCATGTCGGTTGAATGACCCCCTCTACTTGTCTTTGATAGGATGGGTATCTCGGCCTATGGGGTGGACCAATTCTTTGTTGGACTGGTCGATTCGGTCTCACCTCATCAAGTCTAGAACTCCTTTTGCATTGGGCACATAGCTTCTCCATCTCACTTGACACCTTAGAAGCGGCCGAGTTGGCCTGCGTACCCTTCGATGACTCTCCCTGCTCAAACACCATGGTGGGGGGTCCCTTGTTGCGGTGTTGTATCCAACACCAGTTTGAAATGGGGGAGCTCAATTTTTGAGAAGTCTGGGTTAACCATGTTGACACCAAGCAAATTCGAAAATGGGTTGGTGTCCACCAGCATGGCATCTTTCTTTGGCTCGGGGAGCTTGATGCGACCCTTCTCAATGGCATCCTAAAATATATTTCAAAAAACCACACATGAGTTTGTGGAGTGTAGCATGATGTTATGCCACTTACAATATGTTTTCCCTCTTAACTTCTTAGGGGGTGGGATGTTATGCCCCCCTGTCAACTTGATTTGGCCATCTTTGTAGAGTTGGTCAAATATCAAGTCGGCTTTAGAAATATCAAATGAATACTTCCGTGGCTGGATGGGGGCACAATTTGGTCTACCCCTTGTGGTTCATTGTCCATATTAGCCAAAGGAGCACATACATATGGCTTCCCCAGAGTTAACTCAGCCAGGTCTACCTCCACCTCATTGGCCTCTTGGCCATAATGGTTGACAAGGTAGCCGATGTTGGGGAAGTATTGCCCCCCTTGAGGCACTCCTCCTATTCTACTCTTCTTGAAGAAGAGATTCATATCTCATCGCACAAGACATGAGTTGGAACAAGTCAGAGAATTCTCTATCTTGGAATTTCTTCCTTAACTCAAAACTCAACCCCCATTGTGCTAACTTGACAAACTCTCTCTGTCAAGTTGACAAAACAACGGTTACGAGCATTCTTGAAGTTTGTCAAGAAGTGCTCCACCGACTCCCCTAGCTCTTAGCGCATGCGCACCAAATCAGCCATGGAAACCTCATGCTCAGATCTATAGAACTGAGCATGGAAGATTTTCTCCATCTGCTGCCATGTTGGGATGGAGTTGGATGGCAAGTTGACATACCAAGCAAAAGCAGGTCCTTTCAATGAGTTTCCAAATACTCTTAACTTAATAAAATCCCCTACATCCCCACACTGGACTGTAAAACGTCCAATGTGCTCCAGAGTAGACTGGTCCCCTGTCCCAGTGAATGTGGCAAACTCGGAGACTCTAAACCCCCTTGGGAATGGGTAGAGTCTATCCACCCACTCAGGGTATGGTTTTCGATAAATAGGTGGCATGGTGGGTCTCACTCCAATGCCAAATTGGTCGGTAAGAAATTGAGCCACCTGGTCCCTTAGAGTGTTGGGATCATGCCCCCCTTGGGGTACGAAACCCATGGGGTCCATTCCATGCCCATTGAAATGGGGTGGCATGGGTGTTGGGTATGCTCTAGGAGGAACTTGATCTTCCCCATCTTAGCCTACTCCCCCTCCCATATGAGCAGGCACCGTATAGGGCCTTGCCACTAGTATGGGTATGGGTGGCGGTTCCACTGGAGCTGAGTGTGTAACTCCCAAATTCTCACCACGCGGGGGAATTTCTCCAACTCCCACATTGGGTATCCCTTCCACTTGAGTAGTGGCAGGAATATCGCCGCGATTCATGCGGTGAGGATTTGGTTGGTTTGTCATCGTCAGAAAGAGGTTATCTTGCCGTGGCTGAACATTCCCGCCGCCGACTGGAGATGAACTAGAATTTACAGAATTGTTAATGGGGTTTGGATTCCCGCCATCTAATGGCAGAGCTCTAGATTGGACTATTGGTGTGGCTAAAAATCTTTTGACGAAGCAGCTGTAGCCTCCTCCATCATGCGGCGGTTCTCCACCATCATTTGGCGGTTCTCCTCTGTGGCTTGACGGTTCTATGCCACCATTTTGCGGTTCTCCTCCATCATTTGACGAAGGACCCCCACTGCTTCACCAATATCTCCACTAGGCGTCGCCGTTGGTAGGATCTCCGCCCCACCATTGTTTCCAGCCACCGCCTCTGACACTTGGCCATGTTCAATGTTGGCCACCTGCTCCTCCACAAAACCAGACGGAGCGTCACCTTCTTGATTTCTCCGCCTTGGAGCCATCAAATCGAACACACGAGTCCCACCAGGTGTGCCAATTTGTTTCCCTAGCGAAAAAATCTAGATGAACAGAATTGGATTTGCACCTTTGACTTTCAAACAAACGATTAACAAACACGGTCCACACATCTTTGAACAAAGTTCAAACAAGGGTGTTCGATGTTCTTGATGATCTACTAGGCAAACAAAATTACATTAACTCTACTTCTATGGAGGTTCAGTGAGAGCTCCGAAACTACAACTATGACTATGACTACATTTGCAGAGGAACGGTAAAGATAAAAGGATAAAATTTTACATTGTGTTGTCTGGTGTGATTTTGGCGAACCCTTTCTCCGTCATATTCACCTCCTATTTATAGCCACCAGAAGTAACTGCTTCGAGAAACTGCTCTGCTGAGGTGGAGTGGTGGTTACCCTCTCAGCTGCTTCGACGGTTACCATGACGTTGGATGTGCCACCTTCTTCAGCCCTGACCCCCTCCTCTTGAGATCTCACTCCCTGCTCTTGGTATCTCCTCCATAGCTTTGCTTGTCTATAGAGAAAAAATGGCTAAGGCATGATGGAATACCACGTGCCACATATGGGTGGGTATTTGAATCACATGAATTAAAAATGACAAAAATACTTCACCAATAGGAGAGTAGAGAGACCACGTGCTCACATCACCCCACCAATATATCATCCTCATGGGAGCTGGCGTTGATGACCCCTCACCCCCTGATCATACCATGGGGTGCTTTGTTGGTGGTCCCCAGACCACCCTTATCATCTTCCATACTTAGCCACATTTTACATCTTCTCCCCCCCCCCCCCCCCCCCCCGGCCTTAGCTAAATTCGGCCATCACCCCCCTTGCCACGTCACCACGTCTTGGGGGTGGTATTATGGTGGCCACCCCCCTTGGCATGTCCTGGGGGTGGCTCCCATACTTCTTGACTTGAGGGTGGCTACCATACTCCTTGCCTTAGCCAAATTCGGCCATCACCCCCCTCACCACGTCCTAGGGGTGGTATGATGGTGGTCACCCCCCTTGGCATGTCCTAGGGGTGGCTCCCATACTTCTTGCCTTAGCCAAATTCGGCAATCACCCCCATCACCATGTCATGGGGTGGTGCGTGTCATGGGGGTGGCTCTCATAGTCAAATTTGGATATGCATGGCGCGCGTGGTGGCACGGAGTAATGGGCCCAAAAATCCAATTCTCATGGCCCACTCAATTGATTTAAACTGACATGATTAAGTTGGTCTTATAAAGCAATTTAATTCCTTGTTTTTAACCGATGTGGTACAAGGTTAATTTTTTGTGTAAACACCCAACTTTCACTTTTAGCGCGACGTTATTCCTAATAGACATACTACTCTCCAAAAAAACCCAAGACTCGTTGACTTAGCTCGTTGACCTTTGTCTCTAGTACACTCTAGAGTTTATTGGTCAAAATCCTAGGTGGAAACTGGTCACCAAAAGTAAATTATTATATATGGTAGACATGAGAGCTGGTCTTACTCTATTATTATTTGAAAGCAATATCTGCTTGGCGATGATCTTGGACCCTTGATTAGTTAGTTATCGTTCAGTGGTGGGCTAGACTGCTAGTGGCCACAAAATTAAACGATCTTTCCTGTGAGATTCTTTGCAACTGCCTGGAAAATGTAGAGTCATTTTCCCCGAAGCCAAACACTCCCCTACCGAACAAACCTCTCTTCTATATATTTGTATTGCATATATAAGCACACGCACCTCATCAAAGCACAATCACCAAAATCCCCGACAAGAATCAATCTTCAAATCTCACTTTCCCTCTCAAAAGTTCACAACTCATAGCTCAGCTCGACACAACTAGATCCCGTTCTTATCTGCATCGATTTCCGTCATCATGAAGGTAAGAACACCAAGTCAAACTAATATATTGTTCGTACATTGAGTGTTTTGATGACGAAAAGAATTTTATTGTATCCGGTAACTAACTAATTTTTTATTTTATTTTATTCCGACAGCAAAAGTTGGTGATCAATGTGTCAATGAACAAGGAAAAGTCACGGCTCAAGGCGATGAAGATAGTCGTCGGTGTCCACGGCGTTGACTCGGCGTCGTTGGCCGGGCCGGACAAGACCCAAATTGAAGTCACCGGCGACGGAATCGACTCGGTGGCACTCGTCACTCTGCTTCGGAAAAAAGTGGGGTTCTCTGAACTGGTGAGCGTCGGCCCTTTGGAAGAGAAGAAGGAGGAGGATAAGAAGCCGGAGGAAGACTCTAAACCGTCGGCTCCCGTCGTATTGTCATACGAGTACGGTGGTGGACAGCCTCACTACGTCTACCAAATGAGCCCTGCCGCCGGCGGGTACTATTACAATAATAATTACCCTTATCTTTGGAATTAATATGTGCAGTGTACATATATTGAATTATGAATTTCCGGTGAGAGACTCAAAAAAAAAAAAAAAGGGGTCGTCATTGGCTTGACCGGATGGCGGTCGGAGATTTTGATATCGGTATTAGTTTGAAATTTGAGGCTTGTAAATTAAGCAGAATATTAGAACAATGGTGGGCAAGGAAATAAAATACGAGTAAGACAAAAGCTTTCAGTTTAATCTCAACATCTTTCAAGATTGTGTAGATGGAGATTTTACTCGTTAGACATATTGAAAATGGAACAGAGAGGAAGAACACCCTATTTACATGATATTTGTTCAATATGAAAGGATAAGTCACGGGAGAGATGGAAAAAATACTGATCATCTTCTTTCTACTAATCTTATTTGATAATTCATTTTCCAATCGACAATCCTATTGTTTCTACGACTTGAAAATAAATTAGGGGCTTGCTATTTGCCGCCAACCAAATTGCTATTTGCCGCCAAAAAAAAAAAATATATATATATACATATTAGGGTAAGGAGTTTCACAATCTACAACATATCCAACTTTCAGAGAACATATTGAATCAGAAAAATTCAACGCTCGCCGGAAAATTCGCCGGAAAATCATCGGGAAAGCCTATCCTCGACATATACTGCGTACACGCATCAATGAATCATCACTAAGCAGGTGCGTAATTTTTTTGTAGTTTCGAACAATTTTTCCGACGATTTGAAAGGAACAGACAGTGGTCCGAAAATTTCCGGCGGCCGGAACCTCGCCGGGCCGAAAATTTCCGGTGGCCGGAACCTGGCCGAGCCGAAAAATTCCGGCGGCCGGAACCAGGCTGAGCCGCAAGATATTTTCGGCCCGGCCAGGTTCCAGCCACCGGAAATTTTCGGCCCGGCCAGGTTCCGGCCGCCGGAAATTTTCGGCCCACAGTCAGTTTTTGCAATTTTTCGGAAAAATTCGATTTTAGGAGTTGAATTTAGAGTTTAGGAGTTGAATTTAGAGTTTAGGAGTTGAATTTAGCGTGTAAGAATTGAATTTAGAGTTTAGGAGTTGAATTTAGCGGTTAAGAATTGAAATTAGCGTTTAGGTTCACAGGAATATTGATATATTATATTGTAATTGTAGGAAAAATGTCAGAGTTGTTACCGGCCGATCATGATTACACACAGGAATTTGAGAATGGGATCCATTATGCAAGTGTGGAGTTAGCTGAGTTAGCTGCAAGAACAATCGCTCAGTAGTGTGGGTTCTTTATTGTTAGAGGATCATGGAAACCGAATACTGCTGGACAGAATCCTGTTACTGCCCTCTGTATGTATTGCGACAGAAGTAGTAGGATCGTTAAGTCTTATAAAGCAGACCCTACGAAGGAGACGCGTGGGAATATTAGTTCGAAGGGTACTGGTTGCCAGTTTCAGATATGTATAAAGGAAGTATGGCAAAAGGATGGTCCAAACACATGGGTCATGGTGGGAGTGACAAGTCGTGAAACCGGAGCTAATAGAGGGTTTCACAACCATGAAAAGGTGTTGTATCCAGAACATCACCGACACAACAAACAGTTTAGTGAGGCTGAAAAAGAGAGGTTAAGATTAATGAGGAAGGCGGGGGTGAGACCAAATCAGCAGAAGACGACACTCAATACTGAAGGGGGTGTGCATCATGATATCAAACAGATGTACAACATAAATTCCAAGACAAGATTGGATGAGATGGGTGAAATGGATGCGATACAGTTTGCGCTTCACGGAGCTGAACATCGTGGGTACCATATCTGTTTGCAAAAGGACTCTAATAATGTGCTCACTAATCTGTTTTTTGCGCACCCGACGTCCATTCAGATGTTGCATGCATGGCCGTACGTCCACACATCCTGCACTCCGAGGTTGGACAGAATTTGTTTGCGAGCCTTGGTGGTCGGCAGCGAGCCAGGCAGAGAGACCCCCGAAGAGCTAGGGGAAGGGGTAGGGGTAGGAGCAATGCATAGTGTTGCAATGAACTTATGGATTTCATTATGTTCTAGTTGTATTTTTAATGACCCTAGTGTCATTATGAACTTATGGATTTCATTATGTTCTAGTAGTCAAACATCCGATCTAACACACAAACATGGAAACATGCAGTCTAAACATAAACATCCGATCCAAACATACATAAGTAGTCAAACATCCGATCTAACACACAAACATGGAAACATGTAGTCTAAATATAAACATCCGATCCAAACATACATAAGTAGTCAAACATGGAAACATAAAAACAACTAAAAATCCCCTGGAGGAGGGGGGAGTCCCTGAGAAGCCCAGTACTCAGTCCACACATCCTGCACTCCGTGTAGTGCCCTGTAGGCTCGTCGATAATGCTCAAGAAACTCCTCCTCGGTCCCTGCTGCTGCTCGAACCGCAGGTGCAAACGTGTACAAAAGGTCGCGACCACGCTGCATAAAAAAAACAAGAACAATTTTTAGTTTCATGCTAAGTATATTTATAATAGAGTAACGATATAATGGTCAAATCTTACCGCTGCGGAGTCAATAAGTCGATCTGCATCTCCATCATCCCGTAGGACTCTACAATGAGAGTGCGCCACGAACCAGTCAAGATAGTCTCTCGTAGTCTCATATGGATACGTCGTCCACGGCTGAGAGTACATGTCTATATGAACCATGTGGGATAGCAGAGCATCCCATGCAGCATCAAAACTCTCAGGAATCCGAATGACATATCCACCAGGTGCCTCTGGTCGGTCTGCTCGCTGAGGACGCGAAGGGGCAGGCGGTACCATCTGAACATATCCAAACTGTCGGAGGCAACGGGCTGGATCATAGAACTCGCCTATGTCAGCGAACCGGATGACTCCAGTGTACAAAGAGCGACGCACTGCCTGATGAGGCCTCTGATGGAAAGGTGTCCAAAACACATCAGAAGGGGTCAAGCTGTCAAGAGCTCGACGGTAGAACGCCAACCTCACACTGGGATCCGCCACAGAACCAGGTGCTGGCTGCCCAATCCATCGTGAAGCCCAAGCATCATCAGGTCCAACGGCGGCAGGCTCGAAGTGAGATGGCCTGAAACCCGGAAAGTACTCGTAGATCCAACACTGCAGAAGTGTGAGACAACCAGCCATCCCCCTGGCACCAGCACGAGACGCCTGACCAAGGTATCTGTACAACCAAGCAAGTGTACCTGACGCCCAACTATACTGATCTAACTCCTCCAACTCGTCCAAAAATAGGTTCACCACCGACCGAACCCTGTCTCTACTCTTGTCCACAAACAAAGTGGACCCCAACAACAACAACAAGTACGACTGCGCCTCTGTCACATGTGTCCCGTGACTCTGCAAGTATCTGAATATTAACATTAATTGTTAAATCAATTCTTAATTAATTAAAATTCCATTAACTAATCTAAGTAATTAAACATTCAAACGCCTATTACAAAAAAAACATTTATACACCAACTTAAATAAATATTAACACTAATTGCTAATTTCTACTAACTAATTAAGTATTTATTTATTTATTAATTAATTATCGTATTAAATTAAATTAAATATAAAAAAATTTGCGGCCGTGGCGTCGCCGGGCCGAAAGAATTTTTCGGCCGGCCGTCGCACCGGCCGAAAAATTCTTTCGGCCCGGCGGCGTATTGGCCGCAGTTTTTTTTCGGCCCGCCCTGTTTTTCGCTGGAAAACTGGAAAACTTGCCGGGAAACTGGAAAACTGGCCGGAAAACTGGAAAACTGGCCGGAAAAAATAAACTTACTTGTTTTCCGACGAGCTGAGGGCGACGGGAGGTTAGCCGATGACGGAAGAACGGTGCCGGCGACGGAGGCACTGGGCTCGTCAACAGAAGTTTTTGTTGGAATGAGTCAAATGTTCATGGGTATCCGAATTTATAGAATGAAAGGAAGGGAAGGGAGGGAAAATTCAAAATTTGAATTCAAATTTTTTTTTTTTTTTTTTTTTTGGTTGGCGGCAAATAGCAATTTGGTTGGCGGCAAATAGCCGTTCACATAAATTATCGGTAGTTGACTGAAAGTCACGCGCGTCTCGCTTTTTCGGAGTTGCAAGGTGGTCTCCGAATCCCGATTTGGGTTGGGGGGCAATGCCAACGATCCACGGTGTATGGATTTATACACATTTGTTTTACCGTGCCACATTGGGCAAAGTGTGGACCATTTTTCTCTGTTGTGGACAAGCCTCTATATTGAAGAGTAACATGTAAATCGGTTGTTCTTCATCTCAGTTTCGTTTTAAGCATGTCTAAAAATCTGCATCGTCTATTAATGAGGTTTCAACTAATTCACCACATCACATGGGCATATTCATACAGAATTCATCTGCATCACATACACAATCTTGAAAGATGAAAAGCTGTAGTCTTGCTCGTATTTTATTACACTGCCCACCATTGCTAGTATGCTTGTACTTATATATGCAATTATGCATGCAATGGAAGAGAGGTTCATTTGTTTAGTGGAGTGTTTGGCTGTGCGGAAAATGCCTGTACATTATTTTCCAGGCAGTCGCAATAAAGAATCGTAATTGTGCCCGTTAGCAGTCAAGCCCATGCACCTTTCTCTCATCGTACGCAGATAGTACATGCCAATAATAATAGAGAAAGACGCCGCATGTCGATAAGTCTACGATATATATAAATAATTTACTTTTAGTGACCAGTTCTTCTATGTATACAAGTGGAGTAGTTCCCTTCCCAGTTCCCAGTTCCCACTTAGGATTATTGACCGATAAAGTACTATAGTGTACAAGAGAGAAAGGTCAACGTGTGTTTGGTTTTTGGAGGATAGTATTGTCTACTAAGAACAGTTAGGCCTAGAACCCCTTCTGGAAGGAAAGGATATTCCGATCGAGTTGTTGTTTCGTCTAAATAGTAGTGATGACTAGAAAGTCTGGTTTTACTTTTTAGCGACGACGCGTCGTTCCCAATATTACTAGCCTCCGAACCTCGGAGACCCACCCGAGAAGACTCGCGGGTCACTCTTACCTTTGCTTCGTCACTATTACTCTCGGGTCTATTTGCTTGCGCCTAAGAGGAAGCTGGGAACTGCTTCAAATGATATAAGAACTGGTCACTAAAAGTTTATTTAGACCGATTCCAATTCTAGTCCCAAAATTTGGGTACCTTCATCTCTAAATTTGGGGATTATCAACGTTCTCATTATTTTTGTTCTAATGTTATCATCTACAAATTTCGAGACCTCCCTCTTTTTAATTTTTATTTACTTAAAAATGTACTTATGATCATCTTAATATAATATGTTTATGTTATTTTTTTTGTATAATTCATCATCATTTTTAAATTATTAATAAATGATTTTGACAATAAATGAGTAACCTAATTTTGCTTTACACACAACACTTGAAAATGATTGGTCTGTTAGTTTTTGAAAAAAAAATTATTGGTCTAATTAGACCCCTAATTAAACTCCAATTAAACCCTAAAATATTTATAAAACAAAATTCAGGTGGAGGGATGGCGGTTGTCCCGCCCATAGACACACCCCTCTCCATGTTACCGAGAATCCCGATTTTCATTCCCAATTTTGCTGCATCAAATGGTGATTTTCGCCATAAATGCTGACAAAAGAGTAAATGTCGCTCCTGTTGTAAGCAAGCCAGTCATTAATCACAAAGCAAGAGAAGGAAATCGTGACCATTATGAATATGCATTTGGAAAGAATCATTGGTGCAAGGGTGGCATATTCGGTATAGCAGAAGGATCACATTAGGCAAGCAATTCAGGAAAGGAATTCAAAAAGGAAGACTTACCTTCCCTGAGGAGCAACGGCTAGCTACTGAGGAGTACAAAACGCACACTCGGAATCAAGAGGACTCACTTTTCTGGAGATCAATTTTGACAAGAGAGCAAAGGAGTTTGTTAGTTAAGATTGATAAGAAAAGGGACTCGAAGTATAGAACAGGAGTGTGTTTATATTAGAGTGGGACTGGATAGCTCTGATTTCAAGGAGAGGAAGATATGTCTTTGATCATTCTTCCTAGATAAAAAGGTTTTTTTGTCATAGGATCATAGACCAGAGCGCAGACTATACGGTCCGATCCAGACCACGCCTGTACGGTCTGGTTCGGTCTGGTCTAGTCCAGATAGACCACACTCAACGAAAAATGAATAATTTGTTTAGTCAACCACACAAAAAATTGAACCAATAACCAAGAAAAATAATTGTTATTTGCCTTAAAACATTAATCCTAACATGCATGAATAATTTTGATACTCTAAATCTTAGTACATAACAAAGATACAAAGTAAAAGCATCCCAACTTGCACCATAACGTCATAAACATTAACATAATGTCATATGGAGACACGATTATCTCTACTCTCTGGTTAACTGTGGTTGTGAATGAAGGAGGGAAGACATTCACAAAATTAAGGTTGAGACTTGAGTGTCGTTGTGGGAGTTTGGAGAGTGGTCGAATGGGCAATTAACACGTATTGACAAGTCAGTTGGGTCCACTGTTTGGTCAGGTAAACCGCGGTCTAGACCAGACCAGACCAAGAGATCAAATCATAAAATAATACAGACTATGGACCAGACCAGACCATACTTCACGGTCTACGGTCCGGACCAAACTATGCGGTACGGTTTGGACCACGGTTTTTCTAACGGTCTAGTTTATTTTCCCAGCCTAATTATATCTATGCTTCAAACTATTGACCATATATATTTTGCAGTTTAGGAACCGTAAATAAATTTGATGAAATAAAATTTTAACCTCTTTTTCTTAATTATCAACCAAATTCTTGTAAACATAAACAAATGTATCATGTTCAAGCCCATCTATTGTTGCCATAAACATATGAGATTCTGCATAATATAGCGAATTAACCACAACTAAAATTAGAATATAATATGATCTTAAAAAAAAATAGACGCTCTCGCTTCTCTCTTCGGCTTCTGGAGAAAATGCGGGGAAATCATGCTCGCTCTTGTGACGGCGGCTATGGCGGTGTGCATTAGCAACGAATGGCGTACGCGCGTCTGGTCATTCCTGTGGTCCGAAACCGGATCGCCGTCGGCCGGATTCCCAGGAAACAGGTTTGGCAAGAACGCCGCCTTTGCCTTGCATCCACACAGGCACTGCAAATCCTGGGAGAGGCACGGCCGTGGAACCCTTCTAAATCAAGCATGCCACTCTCAAATAAGGAGTGGTAAACGGAAAATGGGGACATATTCGACTCTTATCGGTGGTTCCATTAAACGCAAATGAATCCAAAAGAAATCCTTGTGGCGATTCACGCTTCCGTCTTCAATGGAGATGGATGATGTTGAATGTGAAGGTATGGGGTTGCCCCCTGTGATGACATTGAGGGAACCCTTGTGTACTAAAGGATGGATAGAGAAAAACTCTCCACGCACAAATGATCGATCAACCGAAAGTGGAAGTCATCGCGTTGTGGCGGCGACTCTGCTTCCCGGGGATCGGATACGGACTGGTGCTGAGACCAACATCCCAGGGCCGGAGTATCCATGTGTGAATGACCGTTTGAATGATCATGAGAATTCCCGAGTTGGGGAGGTGGCTCTACCTCACAGTGACCGGACTCGGAATGCCGGCGAGTCACCGACATGTGGCCCGGGGTCTCGATCTCGACATGGTCGAGACGGAAACGGTTATGGATTGCCATATCAATCCCGTGATCCGGGAGATCCCATATTTTCTGAATTATCTCATTGTTTCCACCAAATCCCCGCGTCCCAATACTAATCCCAAAGAGTCCAACCAAATTGGAAGAATTGGGATGGGGAACGCCTCTTCTCGAGTTTATATCCCCTTCACCCTTAACTCTTCTGCTCATATTCTATTGAAACATAGAGCATCAAGTGAGGAACGAGGGCAACCCGAGATCGGTAACTATAGGAAAGCGTTTACCTCAGGTAATTATTTCCCCCTCCCGTTGTTTGATTCTTCAAAGTCAGTACCCATTAGTTGCCCCTATATTCCACAACCAATCTCCATGCACGTTTTGCATGATAAGGAGTCGGGGTGTCGTGCTCCGCCACCAATTAAGGTGGACGGGATTACTAACGCTCTCCCCACTATCCTTTTGGTTCAGGATCAACATATGGCGCATCTAGCTGCGGATCAGGTGGTGGAATTTTCAATGGAGGAGGTTCAATCCAGCAAGTACCGTGCAACCCATTCCCTGCTCGGACGATTGTTCACAGATGCTCGGGTGAACATCAATGAAGTCGGGATGCACTGGTCTCACCATGGCAGGTGCAAGGGCGATTGAAGGTGACTTTGACAAAACATGGGCTGCTTGAATTCACTTTGCCCTCGGAGGAGTCGATGTCATGGGTACTCAAGTGAACGCCATGGGTGGTTACTAAAAAGATCCTTCACCTTCGACCGTGGACTCCCAATATCTCGAAGAGTATCTTTATTGAACTGGATATGGTCCCTTTGCGCGTTCAGTTTTGGAATGTCAAGGAGGATTGTTGCACCCCTCAATTTGGGAGAAAAATGGCAGCTAGCACGCTGGGTTAGCTTCTGGAGACGGGTATTTTTGCTAGTCATGAGACTGGTGAATACTTTGTGAAGGTTCAGACGGTGATGGATCTCACAAAACCCCTCCGCTCACAAATCATGGCTACCAGCGACGATACAGGTAACTTCTGGGTGAATTTTAAGTATTAATATCTCCCGACCTTTTGCTACCGTTGTGGCCGAGTGGGGCATGCGAACCACACTTTTGCTTTAGATTCACCGGCTGGGAAAGAAAGGTTCGGACCTCACATGACGACCAAAAAATTGGGAACCAGGGTTTATGATGCAGATGAGCGACCTCCATAATTGAGGGGGCACTCGAGGTCAGTTTGGGTCAATCAAGACCTGCAGGAGCGCCGTGATATTCAACCCGCCCAACCAATGGAAGTGGAGGAGACGGGGAGATTGGAGATTTCCCAAAACTCGGGTCCTGCTGGAGTACCTGCTCATAATTTCCGCGGCAACGTACATGCGCGTAGCCCTCGCCGGTTCCCCGTTCCTAAGTCACCAAAAATCAAGCTGGCCTGGGGCAATCATAACCGCACTCCCAGGAAAAGCTTCACGGCTGCTGGTCGCACTCTTTCTAACGCTCCTGAACACGGCGCTGGCTATGAGAAAGACAGGGGGCAGGCTCGGGCTGCTGCTGCTGGGCCCATGGCCCGGTCTAAGTCGGTGGGCGCATTCCAGGGAAGGGTGAATCCAGAGAAGGCGAAGTGGGTCGATGTGGCTAGGGCTCCCGCGGCTTGCGAGGAGAAGGCCCATCCCGCCGCTGCTGTGGAAAAGGCCCATAGACGCAGGCTCATACTATCGGCATCGGAGGATGAGCCCATTGTCGACCCTCCAAAGCTGAAAAAAGAAAAAGCAGTGATGGGTGGAAGGAAGAGGTTGGTGAAGGCAGCTACAAAAGCGGTAATAATGGATGATATAATTGTGGCTCTGCCAAATATCAGTCCACCATCTTCTGGACAAGGTGAACCGCGGCAGGCTGGCCATGATACGAACAAGAAAAAGGGCCGGGCTGTGGCGAGGAGGAAGCATAAGCTCCAAATCCCGGAGGGACTGGTACCGGCGGTTGGGGAAGGGACGAGTAGCTTGTCAATTAAGACAAGCTCCCCTCCTCGTCATACTGCTGATGGTGTGACGGTAATGACCCCCTCCAGTGCTTTGGTGGACTTAGCAGCATCCTTGTCGGAGGAAGAGGATAACTGCTTTGAGATTAAGGGGTGGTTTGGAAGTTGAGATTCTTCAAATATGTGTATTTGATGAATACATCTATTGTCAATACAAAGATTGTAAGAATTAGATGATTAAAAGAATGTCTTGTTTGGTTGTAGTCATTCAAAATTTTTAAAGAAAAGAAAAAATCACTTTATGAGCTAAATGTGAAACAAATTAAAGCCAACAATCTCAAAGGAAGAATCTTGCCTTTTTGTTGAGATTTAAAATGAGTGATTGTGGGTGATATGAGATTTGAGGGACCACCTCAAATGCATGTTTTGAACAAAGTTTTGGAACAAAAAAATCGATGGATTCTCCAGAGTAAATGAATTCAAAGAATCATTCATCTAGAATCATAACTTCCAAACGACCCCTAAAAGTCGGGCCCCTGCATGTGACGTGGCAATTCTCATTCCATGCATGGGCGCATCCAACAGGTTGTAGTGGCTTTTGAGTCAAGGGTGCTGATTAATGATGATGAAGAAACTCGCTATATGAAATGAGTGAGTGCGGCGGATGGGGGTGGTGATGGGGAAGGCTATGGGGTGGAGGCAAGGAATGACCCTGTGTTAGATGAATATGGTACGAATCTCCAGCAACCAGCCCTGGCATGCTATAAGTGCTCGTTTGAGGAATTGGAAGGGGAAGTGGGGGAGGACCCTACTCCTAGAAAGCAATTTGTGGAGAATATTTCTGAAAAGGTGGAGGAAGCCAACCGAAAATGGCCCTAAGCAGATAAATTAGGCTTCTCGCCTGGAACGTGCGTGGGATTGGGCCCTCCTTCACGTTCCAAACCGCTGTTGGGTCAATGCATTCCAATAAACCGGACCTTGTGTTCTTTTATGAAACAAGATCGCGACGGAGAGTAGTTTCCCGTCGTATGCGGGGGATAGGTTTTGATATTTCTCATTGTTTCTTTGTTGACGCTGTCAGTTCCTCTGGTGGTCTTGTTCTTGCTTGGGCCCCCGAGGTTGATGCCTTGATTTTTTTCCATTCCAAATTCTGTATTTGTGTGCGTATTAATGAAGTGGATTTTTCTTACATCGTGGTATTTGTTTACATTAGTTGTACTACCGCAATAAGAGCTACCCAGTTAGCTCATCTTTAGGACATTTGTTCAAATTTGCAATTGCCTTTTGTGGTTATTGGGGACTTTAATACTACTCTTCATTAGAGCGAGAAGGATGGGGGAAATCCCTGGAATGCGGCTCAGGCTATTAGCCTTCGAGATTTTATCCAGGAGTGCAGCCTCCATGATCCGGGATTCCGGGGAGACCAGTTCACTTGGACAAATAAGCGTATGGGCACAGCTTGTGTTCGTGAAAGGTTGGATAGGGCCCTTTGTTCCCAACAATGGATGGATCAGTTCCCGGACACTCTGGTGAAGCATTTTACGGATCAGGGCTCGGATCATCGGGCTCTTATCCTGTCTGATAAGCCCTATGTCCGCAACAGCCGTCCTCTTTTCCGGTTCGATGCTCGTTTGGCTGATAATCCAGAGGTTAGAGCAATGGTTCAATATGTTTGGGAGGAACCGGCTTATGGAACTCCTGTGTTTAGACTGTGAGAGAGTTTGAAAAGGCTTCGCCATCTATTATATGATTGGAGTAGAGCTGGCACCACTAATTGCCTTCGGAATATCAAAACGCTCCAAGTTGAAATTGATCGGATAAAGTCTGTTCATCCAATTGACTGGGAAGAGGTGAAAGACCTCGAATTGGAGCTAAGCAGATAGTGGGAGGAAGAGGAAGTTTATTGGCAACAAAAATTGTGAGTCAAATGGTTGACTCGCGAGGGCTCGTCGAAAAGAATTCCTCATATTTTCATACAGTCACGAGGGCTCGTCGAAAAAGAAATTCTGTGACTAGACTCCAGAATGAGAACGGGGAGCGGATATCTAATGAGAAGGAGAAAGCAAACATTGCTACCTCCTTTTATCATAATCTCTTCATGTCTGAGAACCAGGTTCAAGAAATGGTGAATAGTGTGGGTGCTCTCTCTATTTCCCATTGTGTGACTCCTGAGATGAACGCTACTCTTACCGCTGAGGTCCTGCCGGCTAAGGTGAGGAGTACCGTCCTTTCTATGGGGTCAAAACAGGAACCGGGTTCTGATGGATTCACGGGGAAATTCTTCAAGGCCTTTTGGGATATAGTAGGTGACTCGGTTATTGAAGTTGTCACGTCTTTCTTTAGAATAAGCCGGATGCTGCGAAGCTTCAATCATACTTGGTTAACTCTGATCCCTAAGGTGGACAATGTGGAAAATATAAAGCAATTGCGCCCGATTAGTCTATGTCAGTTTGTGTATAAGATTATTACCAAGATCATGGCAGAAAGACTAGCGAGATTTTTACCTGATATTATCTTGGAAGGCCAGAATGCTTTCATTCGTGAAAGGCAGATAGTTGATAATATCCTCCTTGGTCACGAGTTAATGCACTATCTTAAAATCAAAACCCGGGGGAAGAAAGGATACATGGCTCTGAAGGTTGACATGGAAAAGGCCTCTGATAGAGTTGAATGGTCCTTCCTGCTGGCAGTTTTGGAAAAGATGAGGTTTGACTCCAGGTGGCGAGGTTGGATACACAAGTGCCTCTGGTCCGCCTCTCCTTCGGGTTATTTCGCTCCAACCCGGGGACTCCGACAAGGTGACCCCCTATCCTCTCTTTTGTTTGTCATTTGCTCAGATGGGTTTGCGGCTTAGCTCAAAAAGGCAATTCTGGCTGGCATTCTCGAGGGGGGTGAAGGTGATTCCCCGCACTCCTCGCATTTTTCATCTCTTTTTCGCAGATGACTCCTATCTCTTCTTACGAGGCTCTCTTTAGGAGTGCGAGAATCTCATAGAGGTGTTGAATGAATACGAGGAGTTGAGCTACCAACGGGTGAACCTGGGGAAATCTGCGGTATGCTTTAGCAAAAATATTGTTGTACCAGATCAAGAGTTTCTGGCTCAGATTTTGGGCGTGGGAGCGGTTGGGGTCCATGATAAGTACCTTGGACTACCAACCTTGATTGCTCGTTCGAAAATGGCTACGTTCCGATATATTGAGGAGAAATTGATGGCTCGCTTACAAGGATGGAAGCAAACAACCCTGTCCTTGGCTGCTAAGGAGACCTTGATTAAGTTAGTTGTGCTAGCCCTGCCGTTACACATAATGTGTTGTTTTAAGTTACCGCTTTCCCTGTGTCGTCTGCTGAATAAACATGTGGTCCGGTTCTGGTGGGGTGAAGGGGAAGACCGCCAGAGGATCCACTAGATCTCGTGGAGGGTCATGTGTCAAAGTAAGCATGATGGGGTATGGGGTTTAGGAGGTTTGAGCAGTTCAATCAAGTGTTGTTGGCCAAGGTAGAGTGGTGCATCCTTAATGAGCCTCAATCTCTGTTATCCCAATTCTATAAGGGGAAGTACTATCCTAGGGGAGATTTCCTGTCAGCCACGGCCCGTTCTCGCCCTTCTTGGGATGGCAGAGTATTCTCTATGGCCGACAATTGTTAGAGATGGGTCTTCAATGGCAGATTGGAAATGGCCACTCGACTTCTCTTCTCAAATCCAATTGGATCCCGCGGCTGCAACCTGCTCTTCCGGTATATAATCCTCAGGTGTTGCCGGATGGGGGTAGATCCTAAAGTAGCGGAGGTCATCTGTCAAGGGGAAGGCCGGTGGTGTGATCTCAAACTCAGTCAATGGTTTGACCCACCCACGTGTCAGGCTATCAAAGCAATCCCGCTCCCCCCGCCAGGATATTCCGGATAAACTAATCTGGCATGCGACAAGTGATGGGGTCTTCACTGTTAAAACTGCCTACCACCTTGCTATGCTTTTGGATAAACAGAATGGGAGGTGGCAAGCCACGGGTAGTTGGCTGGATCGACCTAGCTGGATTTGTCTGTGGGAGGCCAATATCCTGCCTAAGCTAAAGGTCTTTGTTTGGCAGATCTTTTCTAGAATCTTGAAAATGGTGCATCTGTTCCTGGATTGTCCGGTGGCTAGGGCTCTTTGGGACTATGCGGGGTTGGAGTATCTGGGACAAGGTCTTCCTCGGCATACTTTGCCACTCTTTCTCAAGAGAGTGATGACGTTAATCCAGCAGCCCTCGTTGTTCCTAAAAGTGGTTATGGTCCTCTGCGAATCTGGCGCTCACGTAACTGGGTGGTCTTTGAGGGGAAACATTTTGGGTTCCCGGCTGATATGATCCAAATTGGCCACTTCTACAAGTCACAATTACTTGCCAAAGAAGCTATCAAGGTTGGAAAGAAGAAAGGCAGAATTTGGCTAAGTCAAAATCCGTGTTCAGGTTACATACTTTGGAGGCATGGTTCTCTCAATTGGCTTGGTGAAAATTCCAGTTCAAGGGTTTGTATTGTAGATAAAGTTTCCATGTTTCCAATTATATGCTTTTTGAAGCCAGATGATGTCATTAAGATTGTTTTCCAAGACCTCAAAGTTGCTACCTCAAAACTGGAAAACTGCCAGAAAATGGTTGTCTGGAAACTGTTTTGTGAAGGCTACTTTGGAGCTCAGTTCAAGGAGCATGGATCTGATTCGAGACCAAAGGATTCTACAACATCAAACTAGGTATGTTTTTGAACAAAGGGAAGGAATTGGATGAAGAATTGGAGTTCGGGAAGGCCTCGAACGAAAGGCGCGAAGTTAGTAAGAAGGCTGATTTTGGACTGTTGCGGGCAGCTTACTTGCACTTGAAGAAAGAGTTTAAATCCGAATTTTGAGTCCTTTTTAGAGTAGATTTTTACCTTAATTGTTTCCTAGTTCTATTAGGGTTGTATTAGGTTTATTTGCCTTTAAATACCTTTCTACTTTCGTTGTAAAACTCAGACTTTGATTAATCGAAAAACAAACCCTTTGGTTTTGTGCAAGTTGCGACTTGTGTTGAGTTTGGTGGATTCCAAGCTCGTGAGCTCTTGTATCGATTGAATAGTCACTTCAATCGTGGTCGGGCATCTACCGTTTATACCAATCGAGCGTTCCCCAGGTGTGGAATCGTCCTTTTGGTTCCGTTT